CATCATCTTTAGATCAGGGTACACTAACATGTTCCTGAGCCTCTTTCAGAAGCCCTGCTAAGGTCTGTGCACCATGTAGATTGCTTTTTACAGGTGAAGGTGATGGTTCACCCAGGGCTGCAGAGCTGTAAGGTAGAATAATGCACAAGGGTCTTAGTGCACTGTAGCGGCTGGTCTGCTCCATCCCCATCTCACCTCAATGACCGCCCCCCTCCCCGACCATGGAGAGGCCAAACAAGCAGCATCACTCCAGATTTGGGATAAAGAACAGAGAAAAGAAACAAGTGCTGAAGGGCTGGGTGGTGTGGGACAGACCACAGGATTGGTATGTCACATACCTCAATGCTGGCAGTCGGCATACCTCCTTATCATCACTGTATCTCCGGTGGACATTCACAGAGGACTGTGGGGTCGCTTTGAACCGGACAGCTCCTGGCTTCTCTGATGGGCTATCAGATTACGTTACACCAGCCAATAAAATGGGCCAGGGACTGCTCTCTGGCCCTGAGGCCAGCTGGCACCACACAGCTCATGTCCATATGGTTAAACTCTCTTACTCTCCAGAACAGGGTGGCTGTGTCTGGGAGCTGTCTGGGGCAAAGCTAGTTGGCGTATTCAAAAATTACACCATGGCCCATGCTGTGAGCTTAACAATACGGATGTTCACATGCCAATGTTTAGGTTGTGAGGATTAGCATCCTCTCACCCGTGTTTAGCATTAGTGAGAATGTGAATTGGGATGTGAACCTTTCCTTACTGACACCATTTATGCATTTTGGCCTGGTCCATTCGATGCCATCAGATGGCAGACTTGTATTGGCTTCCAACACTGGCAGTAGGTGCTGCATTCTCTCTTCCCTCTCCCCCTCAGCCATTTAGCCTTTCTTTTAAATTCCTTCCTATCCACCATTTCCATATGGATCACCTTTAAGTTCTGTGCAACTTCCCATCCCGAATCATCTTCATTAAAGGCTCTGTTTCTGGACCTTCAAATACTTTTTGTCTTAGTAAACTCTGACTGTTGATTTTCCGAAAGGAAAAAGTCTGTGGGAACAACCCCATGGCCCAGTACCACGGCCTGAGCCCCTGTACCTGCAAACCCCCTGTCAGCAAAAACATCTGTGGACTTGCTTTCCCTTGATACTGAACAGCTAAACAGGGTGCTACTCAGAGACTCCTTCTATATGTGGTACAGCCACAGCCATGAACCAAAGACAAAATAGGCTACTGATTAAAATAGGACGCAAGTATCGTTGGAAGGCAAAGCAGGCCAACTTGCCCTAGTTTTGTTAATTTTCCTGAATGACTCCACTGGGCAGGGAGGGGAGTCCTTTTAATCCTGCTCTTCTCCAAGGTATTCATAGCAGGAGACATGTTGAATTATGGAGCCGAGAGTAGAATCCCAATGCATCACCATCTACCCCTAAATTTGAGCCAAAAGACTACCGTTAGCCAGCAGCAAAGCATGCTTTTCTATAAGGCTCTGATAGATCCTAGTAAGGCAGAATTTCTGTTTTTTCCACATGTAAATGCAAGATGAATGAAAGAGCAACAAAGGATAGGCAATGTGGCTTCAGGAACACAAGCCCTGACACTTTATTTCATTATGTTTAAAACTTTCTGTGTCTTTCTACCGAAAATATGCACAGATTTTAGCCGGCAGTCCCCACAGCCTCCTCAGGACAGCACAACAGAAGGGCCCATAATGCAGCAAGCACAGGCATAGACACTGGGAGGTCCTGCATACCTGCTGTGATACTGAGTGCCTTGGCCAAGACATACAAATTGCTGAGACGCACAGATGCCCCTGTTGCATCAGCAGCTGAAAGTAGGGTCCAGCTCCTACAGTGGTAGGCTCTTGACAATTGTCCTGGTGAGATGGGCAGGAAATCTGGTTGCACTCAAAGTGGGGGAGCTGGCAACCTCGGTGACGTGGGGTAGCTCACAATGTTTCCCGTGACATTCTTGCTCTTAGGATAAGCAGGCAGGTTGAAACACAATTTTCTGCCATGTTTTGTTCCCTGTTGGCTCACCACAGTGGCAGATCTAATTTCCAGGGAGTGCCCGTGGTGCCCAGAGATCCCTGGCTGGCAGAGGAATTGTGTGGGGGTGCCTCACTGCCCCTGTTGCCCTCCTCTGGAGAGCAGTTAGCGGTTGGCAGATGACTCTGTTGAAGCAGCCCAGAGACTGCACTGATTTCTGCCATGGCTGAAATAGTCTGAACTGACTCTGAGGTCATGGAGCAGCAGAAAGGATTTAAAGTGATTTCATCACATATTCAAGTCCACAGAGAGGAATCATACAAACCAAATGCTGGACACATGGCAAACTAGAGCAAATTTTCATGACTGTGGATGTCCCAAGTATAAACAAGAGGTCCACCTTTTTGAATAGGAATTATCACAGAAAATTCAGCCAGCCACTCTCCCTCTTTTTTCTTGCATGGTGTTGAACCAATAAGGGGAAATACCCTGTGCACTGCTACACCCTGCTAAGCTATGTCTTATTTCCTAGCAGCTTTAGCAGCATTTCATTGATCTTTGGGATGAGGGAAAAGAAGCAACCTGATGTTATTATACAATAATGAACTTTAGCAAGAAGTAATATCACAAAGGATAAAAAAAATCAGCACAAATAATAAAGTTCAAGCTGTGGCACTGCACAACCACAGCAGTGAAAAGAAGAGGATTCTCTCTGTGCAATGGGAGCAACACAGCACAACCCTACTGACATCAGGGCCAGTTAATAGCAGTTTCTGATTCACAAGGAAAGGTGAGACGGTTTATCTGACTCACCCTTCCCCAGTTTGTTTGATGCAGGCTATTTCTGCAGTATGTTTTCTGGGGTTTTCTCCAGCCTAGTTTTCAGTGTCCCAGCAAAGGAGGGCAAGGTATCCCTGGGGAGATTAGTAGATACCTATCCTGGGGATTCCATACAGCAGAGAGGATATTTCTTGCATTGCTTTTTACCCAATACTAGTTTGATTTCCCACTTCCTTGAACTCTAGGCTGTCCACCTGTTGGTTTATAGTGGACAGATACAGTTATACAGACAGAACTTCACAGCCTTGGCATTTTACATTCACTTTGCACTTTGTTGGAATAGGTGTAAAAGGTGACAAAAAAGCAGGTGAGAATTCAGGGCATTTAGGCAAAATGTTCCATCCCCTGCTTGAAGAACAAAAGCATTTCATCCAAATTTCCACCTGTCTAAAGCTGCCTCCCTTCTGAACATGCCAGCACTGAGATCTCCTCCTGCAAGATCGGAGTCTGCTGTGTCCACTTGCAAGGGAAAGAACAAGCAGGAGGCAGTGAGTTATTTTTTAAGATGGACCTCGACTGGGACAGCACCGAGATGCATGTAACGAGGTCATGAAATGGGAAAGTTGAAGTGGGAGTGGATGGACATCTCACCTAACTCCAGACATCTACACAGAGACATCTCCAGCTGATCTTCTCACCCTCTGCTCCCTTTCTAATTAGTGGAAATAAACATAACATTTCTAGGACTCTATTAACCTGACCTATTTAGATGCCTACTTTAGGACAAGAGGAGTTGCAGCCTGGGAATACCTACATCTTTAGCAAGCCAAGGTGGAGACATCCACATTTGTTCTAGAGCATTCCAGCCACAGAGCAAAAAGAAGGGCCCAAACTCACAAAACGAGGACACAACATGTGCATGAAAACAGAACAGGAGGGAAGGCTGAGCTGTAATATGAAGCAAAAGAAGCTTGAGGAAGGGCCAAAAATAAAATCTGTCCTGAAG